CACCTCTCTTCTTGGTGGCAGCTTCTTGGGCAACTCCGATGGCATCACGTCGTCGAACTCTTCGAGGACGCCTTCGATGATGGGAGTTGTGTTTCCCGTTGAGCCTCCTTCTTCCTCCATTTTCAAGGACACAAGAAAGGTTGGTTCATTCTTCTTGAACCCCTTCAACACTTGCATGGCCGATAAAGCACTATGGGGGCCATCTTCTCTCAAGAGATGGATCGTGTGAAACTCCCCCTCCTTCTCCAAGCACATCGTGTTGGAGTTGGGCTTCAAGAGCACTCCCTCCTTGTCGAGGAATTTGATGCCGAGGATGACTGGGTGATCATCCATGGTGACGACGGAAAAGTCGATGAGACCTTCCCACTCGCCAAGCTTCACTGGCACGTTGTGAGCAACTCCATGGATTGGGATGGACTCCGAATTGATCGTCTTGAGCCTCCCTTGCCCCTTCTCGTAAGCAATACCCAGCCGGTTTGCCTCCTCGATGCGAAGGAAGTTGTCCGTGGCACCGGTATCCACCAAGGCTTTTGACTCGCCTTGCATGAATTGCGCCAGAACATAGCACCTCCCACGCTTGCTCTCCTTGACGTCGGTCTTTGCCGCGCCAAGCTTGCGGATTGAGCCAATCTTGGCCTCCGCCGCCTTGGGCTCCTCATCTTGAGCTTCCATGGCCGCCAATCTCGCCTTCCTTGGGCAATCCCGCACTCGATGTGGTCCGTCGCAAAGGAAGCAAGACATGGGTTTTGGCTCGTACTTACCCCCTTTGCTCGAACCACCTTGGTGTTGTTGAGCGCGAGTGCCCTCCTTGAAAGGCTTCTGCTGTTCTCCACCCTTGTTGGGCTTCGAACTCTTCTCTTTGCCGCTGCTCTCTTGCCTTTTGTACTCAACAAAAGACTCCGCCGTGGCCATGGCAGTTGCAAGGTCTTGCACTCCTCGACGTTGCATCTCCATCTTGGCCCATGGTTGCAGCCCATCAAGAAAGCCGTGCATGGCCTCCTTGTCCGTGATGTCCGGGATCTCTAGAAGCAGCTCCGAGAATTCTTTCACGTATTCTCGAACTCCACCCCTCTGGGTGAGTCTTCTCAACTTCGAACGGGCTTCAAACTCCACGTTCTCCGGGTAGAACTGCCTCTTGATTTCTCTCTTGAAATCTTCCCACGTTACCATCACACAAGTACCTCTTTCGACGTCCGCTTCACGTCGCCTCCACCACACCATTGCAACATCGACCAAGTATAGTGGAGCGGTACGAAGTTTTACCTCATCCTCTTGGATGCCGGATGCCTTGAAGTATTGCTCAAGACTCCAAAGGAAGTTCTCTAACTCCCTCGCGTTCCTTGAACCTCCGAAGTTCTTTGGTCTTGGAACATCAGCACGTGGGACGGATTGCGCCGGGGCTGGTCCGTTAGCCATGGCTCTCTTCACGAGAGTGACCTCACTCTTGAGGTCTGCAATCTCCTCCTTCACGCCGACCAGCTCAGCCTGGACTTGCTCTTTCACAACTTCAAGGGCGTTGTTCATGGAGGCGGTGATGGTGTTGTTGATGAGGGCCACAAGCTCTTCCCGCATCCCATCGTGGTTGATCTCCAAGCTTGTCAACCGACCAGCCATTCCTTGAACATCGCCTTGGACTTGGGCGAAGTTACCTCCCAAATCCTCGATGGCAGTGATGTCTTCCGCCAACTTCACTTCCACTCGAGAGACTCGCCTCTCTAGTGCCGCCATTGGATCATGAGTGCTTGACTTGTCACCCTTTGGCTTGGGATGCTTGGTTGGATCCCTTCCGCGCCTCTCGTCGGCGGTAACGCCGCTGTCTGATCCCGACATTTTTGGTGAGGTTCTTCCTTTCCTTCTGGCTCAGGTTCAACTTTGCTTGCACAAAGCCGAACCAGGCTCTGATACCACTTGTCACGACCTTACTCTCGATCGTGCGGCCCTAGCTCTCAAATCCGTTAGAGCGCTAGGCAGCCTTTCTCTCAACTCACTTGAAAGCAAAGAACAAGAACAAGACAGAGGAAGTGGGAGAACTCTCTAGTGTGTATTACTCTCAAAAATGATGGAATGAGTTACAAGTGAGGGAGATGGCCAAGTCTTACTTAGCCCGCGCTAGTAAGAAGATGAAGAAATGGGCGGACAAGAAGAGGCGGCACTTTGATTCTTGCAATGGTGGACAAGAATCCTGAGTCTGTTTTTGTGCCTAGTTACGAATTGATGACCATACGATGAAGCATAGTAAACATTTGTCATCGGAGGCTGGAAGCTTTGCTGCGGGGTTTGGAATTGATGACCATACGATGAAGCATAGTAGGCTCCTCCTCCCCCTCCTTGAGCAGGACCTGATGATCCCTCTCCGAATTCCCTTCTAACGGGAGGGAATCCATACTCGTATGGGTCAAGAAGTGCCATATCTTCTCGTACTTGCACATGGACTGTAACTGGCTCTTGCCGACGTTTACTCCTCCTTGGTGGTGATGGCGGGAGAGATTCAACTTCAATGGCGTGGGAGGAAGAACGTGGCGGTGCAGGTGCATGAGGATATGCAATGATATCCCTTCGGATTTCCCGCAAACATGACAAGAGATTCTTGAAGAGCTTTTTCAAGAATGAAATTTTCTAAGCTGACACATCTGGTTCTGGTCCATTCTCCAACGTCATTGATGCAAGTTCCAACCCATCAACCTAAATAATAAACATGTTAGTCAAACACTCTTTGTGTAGCTAAAGTGATTATAGTAAATAGATATTGTGCTTACCAACGAACCGATCACGGCGCCACGTTTGGTTACCCATCTTTTTGTGAACTTGCGGTACCAAACCATGTATTCATCTTGGTACCCCCATTGGCCTCGTCATTGGGATCCCATCAATTGCATATGTCTGACGAGACTCCCACATTTCAATCCATCTATGGTGCTTGGTTGGTCAATCACTGATTGTACCCCCGCAGATCCTTGCTGTACTTGTGGAATGACTTATGTACGTCCGGTGGTGGGAGAGGAATCGGTTGTGCCCAATTATATTGTCGGACACATCTATCCGGGAGGTGCCACTCGACAATGTAGTGGCAAATCACAGGCAACTTGCACGACCAAAGTCAACGATCCTCAGGGTATCGCAACTCGTACAAATCCTTTGCTCCGTTCGGATACGGATCCCACTCCACCTAAGTTTTAACACAACATATAAATTAAAATCGAAGCAAATAATTTCAACAAATAAAATAGGATTAATAATCATAAAAATAAATCATAGGCTAAGACAAATAATTTCAATAAATAAAATAGAATTCGTAATCATAGAAATAAATCATGAGCTAAGACAAATAATTACAACAAATAAAATAGAATTAGTAATCATAAAAATAAATTATGGGCTAAGACAAATAATTTCAACAAATAAAATAGAATTCGTAATCATAAAAATAAATCATAGGCTAAGACTAAGACAAATAATTTCAACAAATAAATTAGCATTCATAATCATAAAAATAAATCATGGGCTAAGACAAATAATTTCAACAAATAAAATAGGATTCATAATCATAAAAATAAATCATAGGCTAAGACAAATAATTTCAACAAATAAATTAGCATTCATAATCATAAGCTAGAATGTTACCTCGTTGAATTCTATACGGTCAAGATGTTGGCGGTACCCGTCTAGAGAGGTGAGTCTCGTGATAGCTCCAATCCATCTAGCACCATAAGCCCATTGTCGTAGTGGCTCATCGGGACCCCAACTGTTGGTAGAGCAGATCGGAGTGAAAGTAGGAAGGTGCTCCCAAACCCATAGTTGGAGGATGAACATGGGACCAGGGGCGGACCCACGGGCGGGGACACCCCTAAATTTTGGGAATACGATTATCCAACCCCCGGTGGTAATTTACGTATGGACAAAAAAAATATAATTGATAGTGAGGGACACCCCTGAAATTTGAAAACATGATTATCCTACTGTCATTTGTGTATAGGAATATAAGTTGTAGATTGGATAATTCAAATCTAGAACACTATTCTTATTAATAAACTTAATTTTCGTTGACCTACAACTCATTTGTTGTTTGCTTTTAAAAATGTAATAGTAAAATGTCATTTCCTATCTCTAATTATTTTAAAAACCTAACAATTACACTAATTTAAAGCTACCCTTAATACGACAAGTGTTGAAATTGTCTTTCAGCTTTGGCTTATATCAAGAACAAGTTTACAAATCGAATATGCGATAAGTTCGTGAATGATTGTCTAGTAGGGTATATAGAGACAATTTTTTTTAACACTATAGACACCAAATGTATTCTACAATTATTTCCGAATATGAAAACAAATTATGGACTTTTTTAACCTGTACGAGTAAGTTATTTTCAAATTTATGATTTTATTTTTATTAATTATTTTTATTAAATTTATTTTTAAAAGAGGACATCCCTATGGAAAATTTCTGGGTCCGCCACTGCATGGGACCACCTGCTTGCTTTGTTTTCGGATCCGTACACTTGCACAACTCCGAATATATCATCGCCAAACAAGCAGATCCCCAACTTTTTCTCCCAATCTCGTCCCAATCTTCCAAAAGAACTCGAAGCCACATACAATGCATATTTCCACCAGACTTGTTCGGAAACAAAAATCCTCCAACCAAACAAATCAGGTAGATGCAAGCATACCTCTCCATCTGAGGATCCGTGGCATCCTCCGGTAATTCCCCAACGATCCTCACTAGCCAAGGTATCAATAGCATAGCCTTGTGTAGAGGTGGTACACGACGACCTTCTTGTGCTTGCTCGGGGATGTTGATACCTAAACGCTCGCTTATAAATTGGCCCCAACCATTCAATGGTTTCTGTGAACTTTCTATTATTGCATCACCATCGATTGGAAGCTCTGTCAGCATGGCTACGTCCTTCAACGTAATCGTCATCTCTCCCTCTAGAAGGTGGAATGTGTGCGTTCTTTTCTCCATCTTTCCACCATTGCCGTAAGAAGGTTGTTGTCCATCTACATCCCCACAAACTTTCGCACCCTCAGCAATCACGCTCTTTCAATGAAGGGCTCGATACGATCATCCCATTTAGGCAAGCGAGATAGCGACCGATGGGTGATTACGTCAAGTTGTTCCTGTAGAAAAAAATATTTATTATTATACAAAAAAATTAGAAGAATACTATCACATTTAAAAAAAGAAAAGTACATGAGGAAGTGCTTACCGGATCTGCCGCCCAAAAACTTTCAGACCGATGGTAAGGTTGCTCATCCAACAAATCGGTTTCTCGCGGTCCGCCTTGAATGTATAATCTAGGATCATAAATACTCGGATCCATCTCGATAATTTTGAGTGATAGAAGTAAAAAACTAAAGAAAAAAAATCTGATGCGGATGATCGGGCTTAGCCGCAACCACAAAGCATATTTTTTTCTTCAAGAGTGGTGGGAGGAAGAGAGGAAGAAGAATGGAGTGGTGTGAGTTTTGGTGGAATGGGAGGGGGTATTTATAGGTTCTGTGGGAGAGTGAATAGAGTTTATGTAACTCGAACCCAGTGCATCGATTTTGGGCACTCGATCCACGTCAAAAGCAGGTCGAGGGTAGGTGCATAGAACGACTCAGATCGAGTTTAGGGTACTCGATCGACGGTAGTGCGCGCCTGACGTCATCTATCCTCGTCAATCAGATCGATTACCACGGACTCGATCTACTGTCATCGAGTTTCCCCCACTCGATCTGCGTCATCACTGCTTCGCGAGTTTGGCAATCGAACGACCTTGATCGCTTTCCGGTACATCGATCTAGGGTGGAGCGCTTCCCAGGTCATCGATCCAGGTCTTGTTGTTCGAGTCTTCCATCCTCGATGCACGTGGATCGATATGTTGGCAGTCGATCCGGCACTAGTTCGAGTTTGTTAAACTCAAACCGTGTCAAACTTTGGTAGTTTGGGAATTTTTTTATAAAAGTCATTTATTCTGAGAATTATTTTTAATTATTACTGTATTTAGGGAATTAATCCATGTAGTTAGGGGGGGAAATCCAACTTCTACATTTCCCTTTCACTTGGATTGCCTCCTCTTGTCCTATAATTCCATTCAACCGAAACATGGAATGCTTCGAGACTGGCAAACCCCCAGTCAACCCCAAATTTTGCATCCTCATCGGACCGCCAACGACCTTCTCTCTTCTTAATTAATTCATTGTGTTGTTTGTTTTCTAATGAAACATTCTCACGTTCATTCATGTCATGCAAGGTTGTCAAACCGGTTTATACCAGTGTGCCGGTTTAGCAAGTGGAATGGTTCGACCGGTGGTACATACCGGTTTGTGCCGGTTCATGCCGGTTAATATTACAAATAATTTACAAATACTCATATTTAAATACGACATTTAACGTCAATATCTAAATATTTGTACTTGGATCCAACAAATAACATCGACATTTAACTTTTTAACACATAAAATAAATAATAAATTATTTTTTATCAATTAAATTCACTAAGATAAGGTCATTTTACTTGGAGATTCGTATATCGATCATGCCGGTCATACCGGTGGTGTCATGCCGATTTTATGACTGGTACAGATTGAACCGGGTTCAACCAGCGGCACGCCGGCCGGCGTGACAACCATGATGTCATGTGTTCCCCCAAAAAGTTTGACTTCCGCTTCTGCTCGGTAGGGAGCGGACCATCAATTCTTTGAGATACCCAATACGTGGGACTTAGTTTTGTGCCACGATGAATTGTTTAGTTAGTTTTTAATTTCCAAGCACATCCATTTGGCAATACTAATACCAAACATCGTGTTTCTACCAAAATAACAAGAACGAGAATACGAAAAATAATAATAACAAAATTTACGTGACTTCCTCAACGATAACGCTCCTTCACGAGTACAGTTGTAATAGACTTTAACTAGGATGATTCATTACAATTTGGGACACAACCTGTAACACTCTCCTTTTGCAACATCAATTGGTAAGCAAGAAACCAATGTCCGGCAATAGCAACCAACTGACAAAAAAAAAAGGGTCGTATAATCTTCGGGATTGTGTAAGAAAGCCCAACTGATCAATATGGTGGACATGAACCCTAATGTCCTTGGTTTGATCATGAAGTATAAGATTGATTGCAATTCGATTGACATGACTTGTATTATTACTGTACAACCACATGGGCGCACTCTACACTCCACACCAAGCTTGGCTGACGACCTATGAAGCCAAACAAGTTATGTCGTAACCTCAGACATCGAACCATACTTCGCCTTCATCGATGACTTGAACATACTATCCTGCTTCTTACAACGCTAAGAAATAAAAGACGTGTCCACCTTCACACACCATCCTGACGTAGAACAACATGTGTTTAAACAACGAGCATAATTGGCATCAACATGTGCCTCAATAACAGCATTACCAGTAATTGAATACCAACATCTTGAGTAGCCCTCAAGTATCGAATAATTTGATATACATCAGTCTAGTGAGTTGTGTGAGGCCAACTTGCCACTTGAACCTCATACAAAATATACAAGGCCTTAGCTTCTAGAGTTTGCTGTTTTCCCAGGCAAGGAGAAAACTTATACGGCTAACCCTTGCTTTATATATTTGTTTGGTCTCATATGAATTAAGTAAATTAAACTACAAAGCAATACTCCATATGACTAGACTCAAACTAATTGATCATTATATATTTTTGTTAGCCAACCAATAAACCATCATAGCTAAGATGAATTTATAACCCAAAAAAGTACGACAAATCATCCAATATTTTGTCATATTAATTTTAGACTCGTCGATGTGCTTAAACATTTTTAGAAGAGACAAAAACAAAACAAAAAGACTATCACCATCATCCAATGTTTAATCCTCGTATATTTGTCTTCTTATGAAGGTCTTAAGGTTGTCAACACTAGCCCGAGGATAAAAAACTTAAAGCACTCTGCTTAAACTCACCTCATAATTTGTGCAATTACTATTACTAATTACATCCAAATTTGACGAAGACTTTCAAAATTTTCTGTGTATTCTTCTCAGTTCCCACAAAAAGTCAAATGTCAAAACTTTACAAACACAAAAAGTCAAAACCTCACACCTTTAGTCGCACAAGGGAGACGACCTTTGACTTCGTCCACTTATGTAGACTTTTCAGTGTGTAAAGCAGTAAAGGACTCAAGCTTTATGGATTTTTCAGTGTGAGTGGCTCCTGTGGTGTGTGAACTCCCAAACCCTTGATATGAACAATTTCAAGTTTGAAAGATATGGGAAATATGTATATTTTGCAATGTTTTGAGAAACCAACAGTGCTCTCGATCGAAAATATCGAGCATCGAATTTTAAATGATAGGTGGTTTTAGTGGGGATTTTTCCAGAAATAGTACTGTTTAATTTTTTTCCCCCAAAAATAGCACGCAACTCAGAAAAATTCAAAAAATAGCACCATTTCCCAAAAACCGCCACCCATACCAGCGGTTTAGGCGAAAACCGCCACCCGATGCGCGTTTTTCGATGAAAACCGCACTGGTACGGGTAGCGGTTTTTGAGAAAGGGTGCTATTTTTGGAATTTTTCGGAGTTGGGTGTTATTTTTCAATTTTTTTTTTAAACAGTGCTATTTCTAGAAAAATCCCGTTTTAGTGGTACAAACTATTGAACTACGATTAAATTAAAATTTTATTACAAACTTATATCATTGACTTTTCTGAAATAACATCCAATACAGTGTCACAAACCTTATGAGAAAACGGTACAAGTCGTTTAGCAATAAGGTAATATGTCCAATAATTTTCAAAAAACATGATATGTCACATTTCATTGTTTTTCTTCCATTTTATTTTGGTTTATATATATTAAATCTTAATATTGACACACCATGTAATTTGAGTATTCTTGCACCACAACAAACCCAAAGTATTTGAAATTTCATAGGGTAAATGACACATTTCATATCAAGGATCCAGCCATGAACTCATGCAAATCAAACAATGTATAAAAAAATTACTTGAATTCTGACAGCTTCATTCATAAAATAAACGATTCTTCATATATATAAAAATCTACAACCTCCTTACCAAATACCAAGTGTGTTTGCTTATCCATTTGTGAGCCAGTTTACTGTTTGTTGCGGTATAATATTGGTACACAAATTCATTGGCCCCCTACGGAATTTGGAATTTGGAATTTCTTTAGATCCAACCCGTAAATCTCATAGATAGATTTGCTAATCCAACGTTTCAATTCGAATTTGGTTGATGAAAGTCTAAAATTTGACATCCATAATACAAGAAAGAAGCTATAAAATATAACAAATCCAACGACAGATTCAAACGCATTTTAAAATTCAAAACCCTCTTTTTTTTTAAATAATCCCTCCTAGCATTCCCTGCTCTTACACACTATGGGACTCTATTATATTGGTGAAATGAAACTTGGGTCGTCCTAGGACTGCAAAGTTCAGCCGAATCCATCCATATGATGCTGCTTCATTCTCAATTCACATCACAAGTCCACAGAGAGAGAAGCAGGCAGGCAACCAAGGAACAAAGAACAACCATTCTTTCTTTTGTTCCCTAGCTGTTGTCTTCAGCATCCATCCCCCTTCTCCCCTCATTTCAACTCTTGTAAATAAACTTCCAAAACACACGCTTCCGGCTCCCCCATTCTTCTTCCCCTTCTCCCCATACCAACCATCTCCCTCACTCCTTTCCCTTTCTCCCTCTGCTCAATCGCTTTCCTCCCTTGCCCCTTCCCCTCGTCTCACTCTTCCCTGCTCCTTCCACAGCTTCTGCATTCCATTTTGTTCGTTTCCTCCGTCGGATTGAAGGAAAGCTGAAAATAGAAAGCTGTAACATCGACATGTCGGTCATCAGCTCCAGAGGAAGCAACGCAGCAGAGCTTCGTCTTCCCAGGAAATGGACGGACAGAGAAGCCACTCCTGAGCGAATCAGAGTCTGGGGTCACAACCGCTCCACCTCCAACACCGCGACTGTAGAAAATGTTGATATTATTAAGGCCGGAAACACCTGCGCCGAGAAGGAGAATAAGAAGAAAGCCCCCGTCGTTTACTACCTCTCGAGGAATGGACAGCTCGAGCACCCTCATTTCATGGAAGTCCCCCTCTCTTCTCCCGACGGCCTCTATCTCCGAGGTAATTCAAAAAGGATTCTCTTCGCTCAACCAAACAGGCAGTTTTCACCGTTTTTAATCTAATCAATCCTTGTGCTTGATTTGATTTTCCCTCAGATGTGCTCGACCGGTTGAATCTGCTCCGCGGGAAAGGCATGGCTGCTCTCTACTCCTGGTCTTGCAAACGGTAAGACTGCAATTCGAATTTTTGATTCAGTTGTTTTTCTGGGTTTGGTTTGTTAATCCCACGCTTTTGGCACCAGGAGCTACAAAAGCGGATTCGTCTGGCACGATTTGGCGGAGGGCGATTTCATCTACCCGGCCCACGGCAGCGAGTACGTCCTCAAAGGCTCCGAGCTTCTCGAACCGGCGCCGCTCGCCGACTCCACGGATTCCTTCAGATCTGTAAAGATACCGGCCGAGATTCAGAGCCACAAGTCGTCGTCGTCCTCCGCGTCTCCGCCGTCGAGCGACGAGCTGAATCCTCGCCCGGCGATCGCGCGGCGGAGGAACCAGTCCTGGAGCTCCATCGATCTCAGCGAGTACAAGGTCTACAGAGCGGAGCCGTTCTCCCAGTCGAGCCGGCGGCTTGCGGCGGACGCGGCGACTCAGACGGAGGACAAGAGGCGGTGGATGAGGCCGGTGAAGCTGGCGGAGGAGGAAGAGGAGGAGGAAATCGTGAGGGACCGGCGGGAGGTTGGAGGAGGGAGCAGGGAGGAGATCGAGATCGAGATCTCGCCTCCGCCGTCGGATTCCAGCCCGGAGACGCTGGAGACGCTGATGAAAGCGGACAGGCGGCTGATCCTGCTGGGCGGGAGGAGGAGCGGTGGCGGAGCGGTGGATTCGAATCCGACGGCGGAGGACGGCGGGAAGGTGAAGGCGTCGACGGTCCTGATGCAGTTGTTTGCCTGCGGGTCCATGTCGTTCAGGGACTGCGGGGCCGCGGCGGTGAAGGAGCAAGGGCTCTCTCTGATTGGGCAGCGGTACAAGGGGAGGTTGCCACGTGGCGCCGGGGACCACGTCGCGGGGGCATCACGGGAATTTCGGAGTCCTCCTCCAGGGGTAAGACTGGAAGATAAGGAGTATTTTAGCGGGAGCTTGATCGAGACGAAGAAGAAGGAAGAGATTCCTGCCGCGCTGAAGCGGTGTAATTCCTATAACGCTGACAGGTACGCCGCATGACAATTATTCCCTTAATTAGTAATCTCGCCCCAATAATAGAAGTTAGTAGTTGGAGCTTAATTGATAGTCAAAATAAAATACTTCATCATACGAATGATAGGATACAACTGTCTGTTGACAACCATACATGAATCAAATACGATATTTTTTCATATTAGAATGTTAAGCCGCCTACAATGTAATACATAAACCGAAACATAGTAACGAGTAACGAAATCAGTCACATAAAGAGTTGTACATAGATTAACCGCTGTTCACAGTAGCATATGTTATGGAACAAAATGTGTGATGTGAATGTTATTACACAGATCAAAATATAATTAGTGTTGACTATAGTTCCACGTCTATTTAGACCCAGGAGTAGCTTTGTAAGTGTGTGCAGTGGAAAGAGAATCTCTTTGATATTGAAATGTCGGTTGGAATGTAGTTCCAATCCATATAAGTGTTACCAGCCAAACAAGTCCTTCCTTTTTTATTTCCCTTTGGCAGTACAGTGGATTGGACGATGAACAATACACTAATAGTGTCAGAATTATTTTTGATTCTCGGTGGGGTTGGATCTCTGTCATGGCAGTAGAGGGGGCAGATTCGCAGCAGTAGTACGAGTATTTAACCCAAAATCCATCCTACCTTTCTATCTGGCCATAGCTATTCTCTTGTCAGTATTCAAAATTATGGCGGGTAGTGGGTAAAAAAAGCTGGGATAGAAGAGAAAGCAGCAACACAGCAGAGCAGACAGAGCAGACAAATATCAAAACCAGACTAGAACTAGAAACGTGGGGCTCCGCCTTCCTTTCTAACTTCTCATTGAATGCTGGCCTTTTGTCTTCTCTCTCTGGTTCTACCAACGGGCTTCTCTCGCTTTTACCAGTAGTAGTACAGTAAAAGCTTTTGTGGGGCTGCTGCTGTGACAGAGTTGACTTGATTAAAAGCTGCAGAAAATTCTTCTGATAATTGATTCTCCCCCCCCTGTTTGATATATGTCTAATTCCACAATTGAATTTGCGCAGGATGTCACAGCTACAACTCGGGGAACAAGAGGTGGAAGGGAGAGCAGGAGGCGATGGCGCGACCACGAAATGCATTCCGAGGAAGCTGCCCAAGGCGGGGCCGGCGGCGAGTCGGAAAGAGAAGGAGAAGATTAGCCACCAGGACGATGTTAGTAATAGCAGCGAGGGTGGTGGTGGTGGAGGGAGCAAGAGATTTGAGCCGACCACCATCCGACAAGTAGAGGAAACCCGGAAGGATGGAAGCAAATAGTAAAAAAGTTTGACGGCAGATAGTCCTTTACACTTAATGGAAGGGAATGCATGTTTTTGCTATATGTACATGACTAAAAATGTTGCTGTTAGTGGTGGTAGCAGTTATAGTTCATATATTAGTGGGGCCTGAAGCTGAAGACCACCAAGTTAACTTAAACTGGCACGGCAGGGCGAGTAGGACATCCAATCCATGGTGGGAGTCTGGGAGAGGGAAATCAAGAAAAAGGTCAAAGAAAGGAGAAAGGGGAGTTAGCTTTTGTTTTTGTTTTTTTCATCGTTACGTTCTCTTTTGTGGAAGGTTGCGAAAATGTCTGCTAGGTTGAGATCATGGCGCGCCTTGGTGTCTGTAGTATTCAGAAACTAATGCATGGAGCAATGTAGAAATCTCAAATAACATAGCCTCTGTTTTGCGGTGCTTATTAATTCAATGCACTGATTAATAGCGCCGATCGAGCTGGAGCCTTCCTTTTCCTTCTGGTACTTAGGAAGTCGTTATTTTGGCGCATGCATGCGATGGGAACTCGAGTTTTTTTTTTTTTTTTTTTTTTGTCTCCGCTTAGTTTACATTTTTGGCGTTTGCTTTGTTCTATCTCTATTTCTAAGTTTTTAACTTTGCCGATTTCAGGCGGGTTCTGCCACCGGCCACCGTCAGAGCTGCCTGATCACGAGGCTTGCAGGGTGCCCCCTGACCCCCTACTGCTCGCGACACATGTGATAACCTCGTGTGTTTAAAGCAACGCCACGTTAGTTTTATTGGTTACGTAAATACATTGTTTGGAGGGTTAAAATTGTAGTAAGAGGGAAGTTGCACCGAAGACTACTGCTGATTTTGATCATTCATTTTCTGACAGAGGAGTGGCGGACCCAGGATTGTTGAAGAGGGGTGTCGCCTAATTAACGAGTATCGGCTATAATTATTAAAATGGTGTCGGAAATCTCATATTAAAATTTTTTGTACCAAAAAAATATAGGTTCTTCACAAAATTTTCAGGCGAAGGGGTGTCGGACGACACCCCTTAGCAACACATAGGTCCGCCCCTGGACAGGAGACCTCCTCATTCTCAGTATCCATCCCATCAATATTAACGGTCACACTAAATTCCGAGCCAATTTGACACGTTTTTCTCAAAATTTGGACAAAATTTTCTAGTTTGAAAGAAGAGGTCAAAATTGTCTTTTATATATTATAGTTCAGATCAAATTAGGGTAATATCTCCATGACGTTGGAAGCCATCACGCAGCCACGTCAGCATTATATGATAATTTCTAGACAGAAGAAATAATTGACTGTCAATATTAATGCACAACTTAAATTTTGGGCCAAATTTTGATAATTTTTTAAAATTCGGACAAAAGTCAAAACTATCTTATTTGACAGCTTTGAACAAAATTATCATTTAGGTCGCAGTTCAAGCCAAATTGAGGTGTTATCCTTAATTAAATGGCCATTCCTACCAAAATGTTGTGTTTAAAAAGGTCGGGTTTTCACTAAATCGCCCAGCACAGAAAGTCAACAATTGAGTGCAACTTTTGGGCCCAAAGCAAGGGCCCGTTTAGTTCACCAAGGAGGTCGGCCCATGTCGGTAGGTAGATAGGGTGGCCGAGCGAGGTGGGCTCCTTTTGGGAGGAACCGAGAAAGTAAAGAGGGAGAATTAGTTGGGCTAAGAGGATTTTCTTGCATCAGACGAGGAAATAATGAGGGTCTATTGGCTAAAAGAAACTATGGGAATGTCAACACGGTTGGACTTGGAGTTCCTCTTAGTAGCACTTCTACTATGCTATATAGCATTGGTGCTTTAATGTACAACTTAAAGTTGTACCATAACATTAAATGTATAAGTTTATATTATACCATAAAGCAATTTGTATCATTATGTTATGGTATAACTTTACAACCCTAGGATTGATAGTTGCCATCGCCTTGTCGTTCCGCCATTTAATTTTACCGTCGTAATACAACAGAGTGTGAATGAATTCTGTTGGGGTAATAGAGATAAGCCTACGAAAATAAAGAGCCCGTTGGGCCGGAGGCCCACTTATGACCTATCTGGGGCATGACCCATGATTAGGGTAATAGAAACAAGCCCATGAAAGGCAGGTGCCTATTGGACATCAAGCCCATTTATGGCCCATGAGGACATAACCTAGGTAGCTATGAAGGAAAAGGGGGCGCATGACGACAAAATAGGCTCGCAGACAAGGAAGTACGGATGGGCAAGGTCGGAAGGGCGCCACGAGGCCAGTGGTCCCCCTATGCGCCCCGACGTGGAAAACGGACAGTGTGCCACGTGTAGACGCGTAGGCGCCAGGGCAGACCAAGCATTTAATGCTAGGCTGACGTAAGGCTTGGTGGCAGGAGTTGGTCGGAGTTTGGTCGAGGAGTCCGAGTAGTATAAATAGCACTTGGTAGGTAGCATTTAAGCAGGTCGGTTTTCTCACACTAAAACTTCTTTCTTCACTTCTCTCTCTAGAGTTGCTTCTGACTTGATCGTTGGAGTGCTAACGGGCGGGTCTAGCCCTCTAGGCGCCCGTCCTGCAGGGTCCAAGCGTTAGGCGTGGAGCAGTTGGAGGAGTCTGGTGGGCGAAGAGCTTCGTGGCTTCAACAATTGGCGAGCCAGGAAGGGGAAGTCCAGCAAAGTAAGAAAAATGGAAGACTTGAATGATGGAGGTGTAGGCGCCGAGGATGTGGGAACGGAGAATTCCAGCCATGAGGGGAGTGAGCGGCGGTCAAGCCCGGTGGTGAGCATGGACGTAGAAGACGAAAGCCGTGAGCGCCCATCTATGGAGAGTGATTCGTTGTCAAAGAGGGAGCTGTTCAAGATTATTGCTGACCAAGATCGAGCTATAGCAATGCTTCGGAGGGAATTGGAAGGCGGAAGGAGCGTTGATGCAAGGGAGTACAGCCCCCCGGTGAGGAAGCGGGATAGGCTCATTGATGATTCGGAGGTTAGCGAGTATGGGCGCCCGAGCTATGAGGGTCACAATCCTGAGGTAACGCCACCTAGGCACCCTGGTGTGTGGAGGGCGCCAGGAGAGTGGGCCATCCCGGTGCTGGAAGAGCAAAACCCTTGGACGCCTAAACGTCAGGCCAGGCGCTTTGGGATCAGACAACCCTTAGCGCAAAGTGTGTTAATGGAACCGGCGGGAACTACCCTCCCACCGTTGACCAGCTATGATGGAGTCACTGACCCAGAAGATCACCTAAATAGCTATTTCACGAAGATGCAATTGTATAATAGCACGGATGCCACGTTGTGTAAGGTGTTTCCTTCGACATTCGCGGGGGTAGTCTTGGATTGGTATCATCAGTTGGAGGAGGGGCGCATCGAGTGCTTTGAACAATTTGCAGAGCTATTCTTGTCCAAGTTTGCTAGCCGCAAGCGGCGGACGTTGACTATAGGCGCTTTGTTCAAAATCAAGCAGAGAGAGGGAGAGGCGCTTAGAGAGTTCTATGACCGTTGGATTTCGGTCGCTATGGCCGTGAAGGATGTGCAACCACCGGTCCTGAGAGTGTGTCTAGAGGAGTGTACGAATAGCGAGGAGTTGTGTCGGGTGTTGTCCAAAAGGGCCGTAGTGTCGACTGAAGATCTGGATCGAAGGGTACAGAAGGTAATTGCCTTGGAGGAAACGTTGGTCGCGAGAAGGGCAGAAAAGAGGCGCGTTGGAAGAGAAGAGGTTGAGATGCGCCAGGCGCCGAGACCATTCCTGGTAAACAACACTCCGCAAAGGAGGATGGAGAGTCAACGCCCGCCACCCAGGAGTGCGGGAAATTTCACGGAATATAACGATTCTCTGAAGAACATTCTGCAATACGTGAAGGACAGGGGATACCATGTGCGTTGGCCGGGACCCATGCGTGGGCAACCAAACGAACGGAACCTCGATCGATATTGTGACTTCCATCGGAATAAGGGGCATCATACGGCCGATTGCTACCAACTGAAGTCGGAATTGCAGACATTAGCCGACCGAGGAATGCTCAACGACTTCATAAGAAAAACGGAAGAAAGGACTCACCGCGCGTATGTCGCAAGAGAGACGAGGCCGGCGCCTGCTATAGTAGCCGAACCAAGGGCGCCCGTTCTTCCCGCCGTGCAACAGGCGCCTGGTAATCTCCCGGCGCTTGAGACCCTCCCTCCACCGCTTGAAATACCTCCGCCTCTGTTTGAGCTGAATCAGGAAGGAGAGCCCAACCGGGTTCGACTCACGGTGGAATCCATAACCGGAACCATCAATTTGCGAGACAAGTTGGACAGATCTAGGCGCCTCCAGGCTGCATCCGTGGAGGCGAAGGCGGCTGTGCAAATATGCTTTAATCAGGAGGCGGATGAAGCATGTCAAGTGCCCTCAGAGGAGGCTTTGGAGATACAGGGAGTCATCGCGGGGTGTAAGGTCAAGAGGATGTTGGTAGACACGGGTAGTTTGATGGATGTTCTGTTCAAAAGCACATTCGAGCGCATGCAGTTGGCGCCGGAGTTGGTAATCCCCTCTGATTCGGTGCTCATAGGGTTTTCGGGGGCGCCTGCCCATGTGATCGGGCGTGTGCGCCTCCCGGTGACGTTGGGCGACGAAATGCACCGAGTAACGCACGTCGTGGAGTTTGGGATAGTGGATTGTCCCTCGTCATACAATGTCATACTGGGAAGACCCCTTTTGGCATTATTCAATGGAGTAGCCTCAACTTGCCACCAAACATTGAAGTTCGTTGCCCCACAAGGCATAGGAATTTCACGGGGAGAGGGCACCCCCCGCTATGCGCGAGAAGAGGAAGGGAGAAAGAAGGGAGTACGGAGGCACATGGTGAACAACATAGACATTCGGCCAGAGGAGGCGCCTAGAGCGGAGCCTATGGATGATGAGTTCAGGGTACCGATCGAAGAGGGGCGCCCGGACAGGCAGGTACGAGTGTCGGCACAGGCTCCTGAGCACATGAGGGAGCCCTTGATCAAATTGTTGCGAGAATTCGGCGAGCTATTCGCTTGGAGCCCCCAGGACCTGCCGGGAGTGTCACCAGATGTGGCGGCGCATCGATTGGCCGTCGAGGAAGGAAAGAGGCCTGTTCAGCAAAAGCGAAGGAATTTGACTCAAGAGAAAGAGGAAGCCCTAAGGAAGGAAGTCGATAAGTTGCTTGAGGCTGGGTTCGTTGAAGAGGCCAGATACATCACTTGGCTATCGAACGTGGTGTTCGTCCCAAAGCCGTCGGGGGATTGGAGGATGTGTGTGGATTTCACAAACCTTAACCGGGCGTGCCCAACGGATGCCTACCCAATGCCGCGCATTGATATACTTGTGCACGCCACGGCCTACCATGAGGCGCTCAGCTTCCTTGATATGTTTTCGGGGTATCATCAAATTCCCATGGTGGAGGAGGATAGAGCAAAGACTGGCTTCATGACACCCTTTGGTAACTTCTGCTACAAAGTGATGGCATTTGGGTTGAAGAATGCAAGCGCCACGTATCA